TGGCTTCCCGGCCGCGACCTTGGGCGGATCGTCCGGCTGCCCTCCCTTCCGTGGGCGTGATGCGCCTACTTCACCTGCCTGCCCCTCTGCCTGTCCCTCCGCCTTGCGAGACCCTGCGGTGGCTTTTGGGGTTTCTGTGTTGTCTCTTAGCTCAGTGTTTTGACCCTTAGATAGTACCTACGATATTTTCCCAGGTTATTCTGGGGTCTTAGTACTTAATCATTCTTGCAAGTTACTGCTGCTGTCATTCATTCAAATTACTTTTGACGTAGAAGAAGCTGTCATATTATTAGACTTTTAAAAAAGCTTGTTAACTGCCTGTAATCTTGCTTGCCCAACAATGCTGTTTGCTTGTGTTGTTTTTAAAACACAGCACACAGATACCTCCCAAAGCCCTGTGCTGGGATCACTTAATTTCTTATGTGTTTTAGGATTTCATTTGGGCATACTCATAGCAGGGGTTTATTTGGCATGTCTTCTCTTACAAATCTGTAAAATCAGGTGCTTGAAGTATAGGTTGGGGTCTGTTCAGTCATATTGATTTAAAAAAAGAAAACAACTCATAAAAACAACCCCGCAAGAATTTGCATAAATGGCTTTTGAATATTTTCAGAATACAAGCCCATTTGATAACATACTTTACTTGTAGGAACAAATGTTTACATAGTACACGTTATTCTCCAAAATCAGGAGGTCTTTGTTAAACACCTGATTTCAGTTTGCTGGGTTAAGATGTGGTTACTCTACAGTTCATGAGACTACCTAAAAATATTTTTTTCTTCCTTCTCCTCCCTTGCTCCCTTAAACGTACACCTTAAAGAAGATTAGAGTGTCTCTTAGGAGAGAATTCATAGATCAACGTGTCATCTGTTTGGCAAATTAAATACAGTTTATTTTTCCTGCTGGCAGTTATGATGTGAAGAATAACAATAATTTATACTTGTTGAGAGACTCATTATGTTGGTTACCTATCTAAACAAATAAAGCCTCTATATTTCTGTATTTCCTCACCCTACAGTTTTGTTTTGTTTTCTTGTTTGTAAAATTAAAGGCTTGCACAGGAGAAAGGTCTGTAACTGCCTGAAGTATTGTAAAAAAAAAAAACAACCACCAAAACCCAAATAAAACCTCTAAAATCTTTAGCTAGGCCACAAACCTTAGAGAACTTTGGATGGGTAGGGAATAAATGTGTGTGATACAGTGTCTGTAGGCCTGGTTTAATTAGGACACCCATGTGGGAAAATGGTGTTCTCAGGGACGTTAGTGCTGTAGCAAGAATGTCGGGATGAAATTTTTGTGGCTTGTAGTGAACAAGTGAATGACAATATATTACTATCTGATTTTGATGGCTAAGAATGGATGGTCAGACCTAAATGATGTTGGCTTAAAAAAAAAATTCTAATGCTACTCTGTAATGTTATTAGAAATTTTCCATTGGAGTGGAGGGATTTTTTTGAGAATTTTTTTCCAGAAAAATTGTAACTGAGAAATACGTATCTCCCTTTTGCCACGGGCTGCCTGCCCCTTGTTCCTGATATATTTCATGTATTGTTTCAGGATATGGTGCAGTTGTTCCTGGGCAGCTGGGTGTTGCTGAATAGCGTTTCTATGAGCTTGCTGTTCAATCTGTCTGTTGTTCAGAATGGCAAAGAACCCTAATTTTCAGGAAGTCGGTCATCTGCCTACAGGCTACGTCCACTGTAGATCTTCAGACAGCTTTACTGGTGAGTGGACCAATGTATTTTCTTCATATTTGAACTTAAGCGTTTAGTTGTATGCCATTTTAACCAGGTTATATCAAGTACGTTAATACCTGTTTCATATGTGATTAGTAAATAATCTGTACTTCCTGTATTGCTGTTTGTACCTAGCTAAACATATTTCTGCTCTTTTATCAGAGGAGTACATCTCTGAGCAGAATGTAGAACGATAGCACTACAGTGTGTAACTATTTGTAGTCTTTAAGTCAAACACTTTTGGTACTAGCTGTTGTTTGGGATGCTGTCATTGAATGATGTGGTTATTTACCATTAACCAGATTTAACATCTGCATTTCTTTTTAATGTTTTCAGAAGAGATGGGTTGGAGATGAGACTTAAAAGTTTGTGAATTTAATTTACTTGGTCTTTTCTATTCTAGATCTATACATTCATACTGCACTGATTACATTGTTATTATTGGACGCTGTGTATTAGAACATATTTTTTTCCTTTTCTGTTAAAATTTTCACTCATAAACTTCGTTGTTATTTAGAAGTACAAAGGAGCTTCTGTAGCAAGCGTTCTGACAGAATCAAAGTATTTACTTGAGTTATACTCTGTGCATGTTGAAATGTTTACTAATATTTCCTGAGATGTTAACTTACTGTACCAGAACTTCTGAGAACAAAATACTTTTTTATAGAAAGGCAAGTATATCCATTGAAAAATACCCCAAACCATATCGTTTGAAACAATGGTCTATTTGTGCAGTGGCCTTACTGTCACACCTGCCATGTTCTGTGAGTCTTTGGTAATAGAAACTAATTAAAATAATATGTTGGTGGAATTTATTTAAAGCGTAGCAAAATATTTTGGTAAGTATTGAATTACTGAAAAGTGAAATACTACTCAAATCCTTTCCAATCAACTGACAGCCAATTCCTATTTCTAGATAAAATAGCAGTGTAAGATAATTATATTTAAGAAAATTTCCCTTGTGTAGTTCTGGCAAAATCTGTATTATCTTGATAGGTACAAACTAGATGGTGAAGGAACTAAGTGTTTCAAGGGTATGAAATTATTTGCTCGGTGTTTATAATCCCGATTTATTTAATAAAGTATTTAATTCTAACAATAGTCTGATAACTTGCTTTTATTTATGATGTTTCAGTAAGGTTATCAGTTATGTAAACTTCTTTCACTCATTTTATATATGAAATGAAATTCCAAATTGTTCATGAATAATTCCTTTTTCTGTGCCTGGTATAAACCCAGCTCTTCCATGTTTCATTGAAACAGCACTGCCTTTCAAAGGACTGTAGTGATAGCTCAGCTGCGGAGAGGAACTGACTTAGTACCTGTCTTTATTGCAGCTCTGTGGGAGTCATTTAGTAAAGATATCACAGGGGTTTTTGCTGTTGTTTCTGCATTTTCTAGGTCACATTTTTGTATGCCATAACTTGTTACAGGTTACTTACTAAAAAGACTAGGAAGCAGAAAACTTTGGGGGTTTTGTTGTTGTTTTTCTAGCCATGATGCATATTGTGTAATAAGTATTAAGCAGTGTTTTTCACATGCTCGCCGTTGAAAACGGCTAGCAATAAGTGCGTTTTCTGGTGGTGTCTTGCACAGAAGCAATTAGTTGGCAGGCTGACTTAACAGATGCCTTTTGAGACTGTTACAGTTTTAAGGGCTCCTTAAACTCACAGAGAAGACCCTTGTTTTTTTTCTGTCTGCAGCAGCTGACTCCTGAAGTGATTAATTAGCTCTGAATACCTGGAAATAGGTTGTAGCGCTGGCAAGAGACTTGTGAATGTCATGGCCTTGTATTGGGAAGTTGGTTACATGGTCGTCTTTGACTGCCAGGAAGAGTAAACACCTGTATTCTCTGAAAAGGGTGTATTCTTTGAAAGGGATGATGTGATTCGATGACAGAAGATGCCAGAGAGGCCTTCAGGAAGGGTTTTGCTAAGCTCCAGGCAGCATCCCTCTTCGCTTTTTTTGTTTTTATTTTTTAATTGTAAATAATACTTTGAGTTGCAACTAGAAAAATACATGTTTTGCTCTACAGGGAAGTTATGAGCTCATAGCAACTTGCCACAACTAAAGCAGTATATTACTTATTACTTCCTCAAATAAGACATGTGCAGATCACTTCAAGGGTTGTCTGAATTCATACCATTAATTAGTCCTAGTCAGGGAAGATCTGAAGTCATGTGTTGTTAGGTTCTGTATTTTGAAGGTGGGACTGCCCTCACTGAGCTACTTTATATGGAAAATCCACAATACAGATGAAACTTGCTTTGGGAATGTGTGAACAAAATAAGAGTGTGAGTGCTTCTTCAGTATACTGATGTTGCCTGCTGAAAGCACACAAGGCATGTACATGTTTTTCATAGTGTTGCCGGTTTCCAACACTTTGTGTCATTCCAGCATTTGGAAGGCTCCTCAGCCAGAGGCTTGTCGCTGTCGTTGTTTACAAGCTGCCTCGCTTGTAGAGGCCTGTATTGCCCGTGATCAGTATGTTCTTGTAAACTGGAAATTTAGAATAATGAGTTGTACCGGCAATTTGGAGAGCGTTAAACATCAAAATGAATTTGTCTTGCAGCTTACACACGGGCATTTCTAAAATTCTACTTTCATCGCTTGCTGTAGTTCAGGGATTTATGTTTATAAGGACTGGCATCATGGCCTTAATAGCAAGCGTCCCCAGTTCAGACTTTGTCCTCTTCTATACACTGATTCTTTTTTAGAGAGAGGTTTGTGTACCCTTGAGAGGGAAGTGATTCTGTTTGTTTATTTAACCTGAAATGGAAACAATTTTCCCTTGAACTTTTCGCCCCATTGACACATGACAATATCCACAGCTACTGGAAACAAAGTTAGCCTGCAGCTGATGCCATTCCCTTATCTTTACCACCTATATAGTGGTAAGGATAACATACAGACAGTACCTGTTCTTACTCTTCAGAGATAAGTGAAATAAAGTAGGAAAAAAGGAATTAAAAATAGAATTTAAAACCAAAACCTGTCTGTACTTGTACGTGTATGAAGTGTCATAAACCAACCTCTCTAATCAAAACTGGAACTAGTGGAAGAGAGATAGCACAGATTTGTTTGGTAATGTGCTTGTAACTTGAAGGTAGTTGGGTTGCCTGACTATTGTGAATGAAGATCAACAGCAGCAATTATGGACTTGTAAGGTACAGAAGTCTGGAAGGAGTATTGAGGCTTGAGGATTGCAGCTGAGTAACAAATACATCCTTTTGTTTGCTCCTTTGGTGTGATAAAAGACTTTATATTCTGGGAGCATTTCAATTTTACTATCTTCTGTAAACGCTCAAATAATTATGATGTAATAAATATTATTGCTACTATAGATTGATGCAACTGACCCGAGGTGATTTAAGTTACTCTCTCTTGTTACAAAATAGATGTTGTTCAAAGTGTATGTTGGTTAAATCGGTTCAGTGCAGAGTTGTCTTAGCTAATTGTAAATTAACCAGTGCAAATGGAAGAAACAGTCTGTTATTTGGACAACTCATAAAAAGTAATTTACTCTCATGAGAGGAGAATGACTGTACAGTGTCCTGTGCCCCCATGGTTAGTCTGCCTCCAGTGTCTCGGCCAGTATTGCTGGTTCCACGCCATAATGGCTACACAGGCACACAGCTTCTCATCAAGTAGCAGACCCAGCCTGAGGAAGGCTGGGTTTTGTTCCCATTTGTGCTGTGATCTTTATTATCAATTTAGTATGCTGTATTTTTTCTTAGATCTTATTTTCTATTTCTATCACTCTTTCTAGTTTAAAGTTCTTTGGGACTGTTCTACAGTAGCTTGGTTTTTGGGTTAAGCATTTCCAGGTCTTACAGAAGTGCAAATAATTCTTAACCCCATGTGCATTGCTTTATTTTCTTTGTTGGGGTAGAAATGACTGGAAATGGATGTGTATTTTCTCATGATACTTTTAAAATGTAGCTTAAAAATGCATTCATGCCATGAACTTTTCACTTTAAAGATTAATGTGTTAGCTGTGTGCAGGGTATGGCCTCATCATTTTCCTGCTTCTTGCAGTACACCATCTTTCTTAAGCACTGAGTATGTGCCTATTTTGAGAAGTGGCTAGTCATTGGAGCACAAAAGGTGTCTCTGAAAATACGGATGATTATTATCTGAAACAGTCAACCTCTTCGTTTTTAAAAGTAAACCGAGGTGTGATGATAGAAGCTGATTTAACACTTAAGTTCTCCTCTTGATGCTCTTGTCACTGAGACTCTTTTCTTACATATATGAGGGAACAAGAAGGCATCAAGAAAACTGAGTGGAAAGGATAAAACAGCTGAGTTGTACATTGTAAAGTTTTGCTCTTTGGCAGACTTTGTCTGTTACTTATTAAAAGTTATCCGGATTGTTTATTTTCTCCCAGTTCTGGAAAGTTGATTGGACTTCTCCAAAACCACTGATTTTTATTAGAGACTTGGGAGTTAAGACTGTGCTGAATTGGTCAGTTTATTTATAATTTATGTGCATTTTAATTCAGATAAAATAGCTTTCTAATGGTAACTTTACTTAAAATTGTTTAATTTTTAATTCCTTTTGTTAGAAGCTTTTTAAGTAAATGGATTGACAGAACAAGGGGATGGAATTATCTGAAATATGTTCTGTTGGCTAGACTTGTTGATACAAGCTGCATCAAGTCCTATTGTAAATTAACTTTAATAGGTTTTTAAGAGGTTTATGAAACCTCTTGGTTTCGTTTTTCTTGTAATATATGGTAACACAGACTAGTTGCTTTTTTTTTTTTTTCATAATCACAGCTTGATCTTTGCCTTTTTTTAGTATTTGTACCCTTTATAATTTGGGTTGTTTTCTTTTTCACTTTAGGCTACCAATATCCCCATCCCTCCAAGATGAGTAACAGCCATCCCCTTCGTCCTTACACTGCTGTGGGTGAGATCGACCACGTTCACATTCTGTCAGAGCATCTCGGTGCTCTAATGAATGGGGAAGAATATAGTGACGTTACCTTTATTGTAGAAAAGAAACGTTTTCCAGCACACAGAGTGATCCTGGCTGCTAGGTGCCATTATTTCAGGTGAAGTATAGCTTTTTGTCAGGCTCACAAGGGATCTTCATGCAGATAAGATAAACATTGTTTCTCTATGAACTTTTCAGGGCGTAATCATCTGTCCATTGAGTGTGACCTTTTCTTTGTGAATGTTTCCCAGCACATCAAATCATTGTGTCCAAATATAAAAAGATAAATACCATGTCATGATGTTGTTCTTTTGACCTTCATTAAATTGGATTTTGAAGCAGTTTCACAAATTCAAGAGAAAGATAACTTCAGAACAGAAAAGTTCTTATGTAAAATTGTTTTGATTTCTCAGAGCATGGATGGTGTGCTTATATGGAATATACTCAATTAGAAAGTTGAATTTTGGTGCATTGGAATCTAAAGAGATCTGGCTGATACAGGTTAGAACATGTATTTTAAAACTAGGAATAATACTAATACAGCTTTTTTAAGACCTGGGTGTTTTTCAGTCTAAATGTAAGTAATGACTTCCTGATAATCTTCCAGTTAATTTTGTCAGAGGGAGGCTAATAACTAAACTGAAGTGTGAATGCAAATCGTGTGCAAACTGTCTGTCACATTTTAAAAAGTAATAGTGAGTACTTTGATTTTTCTCAAGATTCAGGATTTCATCCAAGTTGCTATGTGCTGGGTGTAAAGTAAGGAACAGAGGATTAAGAATCCTGAGATTTACTAATCTGCCACTGCTGTTATAGTGGCGAATATTCATTTCACTTGCTTTCTGAAAGGTTTTTTTTCTTTCTCACTGATAGCGTTATATTAAAAAAAAAAAAGGTACGAGAATCATATCTCAAATTCTGCTTCACAAGCTATTGTTCAAAGTGGAAATGGAGCAAGTGTTGTGTAGGATAAAAACATGGTGTATTAAAATGTTATTCTTGTGCAGCTGCTTTCAGAGCAGAGCCACACTTTAAATGCCAAGTAGAAGGGCTTTTTCTTTTGTAGATTGTTAAACCATATCCCCTTTGTATTCCCTTTGCTGTAAATAGTAATTTATTCTTTTTGCTTTCTACATTTTGCCTGGTTTTTATCAAGATATAAATTTCTTAAATTTTCTCTTCCTTGTAGGGCATTATTGTATGGTGGAATGAGAGAATCTCAGCCTGAAGCAGAAATTCCTCTTCAGGACACCACTGCAGAAGCATTTACTATGTTGTTGAAATATATATACACTGGTCGTGCTACACTACGAGATGAGAAAGAGGAGGTTCTTCTAGACTTCCTAAGCCTAGCACATAAATATGGGTTCCCAGAACTGGAGGATTCCACATCTGAGTATCTTTGCACAATACTTAATATTCAGAATGTCTGTATGACCTTTGATGTTGCCAGTCTTTATTCCCTTCCCAAATTAACTTTTATGTGCTGTATGTTCATGGATAGAAATGCCCAAGAGGTGCTCTCCAGTGAAGGCTTCTTATCACTTTCTAAGGTAGATCTTTTGTTTGCACTTTTTCCCCAATAATGTTAATATGTGTACAGCTCCATGATGGAATACTAATGGGGGCACCAGATAAAGCTTTATAGGTATATAAGTTGTTCAAGTTAGCGGGTATCATTTGATGCTGCTGTAACTGTGACAGTTGGAAACGTTCAAGCCAAGATGAACTGAACATCCTGGTGATCTGTTCTGATTTTTTTAGTTCTTTTATTTTGGCCAGTCAGTATCGCTAAATACAGTAATTCTCACAGAGCATTCTAAAAGGTGGGAGCAGGCAATCTAATCTTAATTTTTTTCATCTGTTCTTGAAAGAATATAACTTGGCTTCCGAATGCCAGCCAGGGGATATAAAGATTTGAAGGTAGCAGAAGATAGTCCAATCTATTAACTTCTTGATACAGGCTGCCTCAGTGATGGGTGATTTTCTACTGTGTAAGCTAAAGCGCTGTGGAGGTTGTCATCATGTTGTGAAACTGCATAATACTGAGGTATTGTAGGGTGGTTTGGGTGTTTTGTGTGTTAGTTTTGTTGTTGTTAGATGCGTAAATATTTGCCTGAGTTAGGCTGATCTGTGACACTGAAATTTTCCACTTACTCTGGAGTGGTGTTTGAGTTGGACATAATAGTGATCGTGTTTTCAAGTGGTGTTCACATGAAGCATCTTGAATGAATGATGGTTTAATTATTGTTTGGGGTTTTTTTTAAGTGGTTTGAGTAGAAAAGCTGTGATGAGTCTGTTTGAATAAGTACAAGACACTGCTCCGCTGAGTGACTTACTAGTTGTTTAGGGGAAAAAAAGGTGGTGTTTTTTCTCTACTGTAGTCTGTCATGTACACTTTGTTAAATCTGAGCTCTGAGAGCATATTATTTGCTCATTACTTTATTGATTGTTCATCAGGAAACGCATATTTTATGACATCTTTGTCATGCCAGTCATGGTATAGATGAGATTTATCCTTTTCTTAAGCAAACTCCTAATTATTCTGCTGAGTGAATATCAAAAAGATGTTAAATTCTTTTTATTTTCATTTTGCAGTCAGTGTTTTTTTTGCATGAATAAGAGCCACTGGAGTTGTTACCTGCTGATTCTAAGTTGGTACCAAAAGAGAGAGAGAAGGGGGGGGATCTGTGTGGAACTGTCAAATAGTTAAGATAGTTCAAAAAGGTGATTCAAAGCCATACTTTATTTTTCTCATCAGTGTTCTTATACCAGCTTAAGTTTAAGGGGATGCTTTGAACTCTACTACTGAATCCTCAAATCACTTCTTATATTCCAAAGTAAATTTGAAGAAGTAACCCAAACTAAATTGATTTGAATAGTTTTCCATATTTCAGTTCTGACTTATTTCTCCTAGTGGAATTGTAGTATTACCTGATGGATTCTGTGATTCTTGCATAAGTAACTAAAGCTGCAGTTTCAGGTTCACCCTTTTGCAGATTATTTTTATATAACTACAAGTTAATACCTGTTAATTTTGGCCTTATTTTGATTTCCCTCTTTTGTCCTTTCTTAAAAAAAAATCTGGTTTGTTTGTTTGGTTTGTTTTTCTTTTCCAGGCTGCTCTTCTAAGTATTGTACTGAGGGACTCATTTGCAGCTCCTGAGAAGGACATTTTCCAAGCTTTGATGAATTGGTGTAAACATAACCCAAAGGAAAACCATGCTGAAATCATGCAAGCAGTACGTTTGCCACTCATGAGTCTAACAGAACTACTAAATGTTGTAAGACCTTCGGGATTATTGTCACCTGATGCCATCCTCGATGCCATTAAGATTCGTTCTGAGAGTCGGGACATGGACCTCAACTACAGGGGCATGTTAAGTAAGCATCGAGGTTTTTTCTTTGGTTGGTTCTTTGCAGTTCTTTTCTCCTTCAGTGATTACAGTTGTCTGAAGGATACCGTAAATTTGTGCTTTGAGTGTTTATCTGTTATTACCTGTTTTAAAAGTCTTACATAATAAGAAATTTTATGTACTGTTCTTGCCATTTCCATTCCTCAGACAATATTAGTCAACATATTTTCTTGCTTTGTATCACAGATACTGCTCAGACATGAATGTTCTAATAAGAGTGTATTTTCGTAGAGGAAGTGCTATTTAAATAGAGAAACTTCTGCAAAAAAATACCATTAATACAAATGCATTGGCTGGAGATATGTGCTGTTTAAATGGTTTTAGGTTGATGGTGACTTGTTTTCTACTTCATGAAGATTTTCATCTTTTCCCCACCACTTCTGATTTTTCTCCTACTCTTTACATGCTTGCCCAAAGAGTATAAACAAGTCTTCCAAAATTGTATTACTGGGAGCCTAAAAATTGTGAGAAGCCTTCTGTTTGACTTTTGTCTGTGTTAATTCAACAGGAATATCTTAATGCTGAGCTTCAGAAAGATGTGTGTTTTACAGACAGTGTTTGCCCCACAGCTAAGAATAAAGTTAAATGTTCTTTGAGAGCTTGCACTGTAGTCTGTCAGTCATGCATGATGAGCCCTGAAAATAACTGCTTTTTCAAAACTGCATCTCCACTTTGTGCTCTCTTACAGATATTAATATTTAAACATTTAAGTTTAATATTAGGATACTGTAAAAAGCTTATTATGCAAGACATGCTGTTGGCAGTGCAGTAGATAAGTTTGAAAAAGTTAAATGGTGTTTTCTGACTTACTCTTCTGCATATTTGTGTGTCAATTATAATATGCTCCTAACCTCAAAATTTCTAGCTTTGTCAAAATCACAGCTTTTTAGAGACTTGAATTTCTGTGTTGGTTTAGTACTAGTTCAGGCTCGTGGGACTTTCCTGTTTGTGGAAACATTGACCACTTGCAGTTGTGCATTTGATGTTTTAATGTAGTAGTACTACAATGCAGTTGAAACTTTTAAGATTTCAAATTCTGTTCTTTAAATGTTAAACTTAACATCCTGTTAAAATTAATAATTTTCTTGCCAACCTGCCCGAATTGTTCAGGGGCAGCTCTTCATCATTTAGCTTTCAGATCATGTTTTTTAGGCACTGTCCTCAAACAAGACTGTTAAAAATGTCTTTTTAACAGGGTGATTCATCAGTGTATTGTTTTGTAGTTGGAGTCAGGCATCATTATCCCCAGTTATCTTGATAGAAGTTCTATTCCTAGGATGTAGCAGGTTTATTACTGTAAAATAGTGGCATAAACCACTTGCTTTATCATGTTGGTGAAAAGCCCAAGTAGCCGTAATATCCCATTTCACTCAGGTTCATTTAGCTTTGCAGAGTACTGGAAGCTTGTATGGCTATCAAAATAGCTTGTATAGCTCTACCACTGTATGTACCACCCTGCAAATTTGTGGTGCATCCATGTCTTGAACAATTTATGTGATTTCTGGTTTCCTTCCACTTCAGACAAACAGAAAAAAATCCCCGTTTGAAATTAGAACAAAAAATGAGAAAGCAAAAAAATGTTAGAGGTGTGGTGAGATGATGATCACAAGGAGAGACTAAATGGACCAAAATATTAAAACCTGGAGGAAAGGGGTGGTTGAATGAGGGAGGTACAATAGAATTCTGTAAAATCTTGAAGGGGTATGAGAATATAGATACAACATACAAGTAAATTACTACTACCATAAAATACCTGACAGTCAGCAGATGAAATGGAGGAAGCAAAATTTCTAAAATACCTCTCTTCTTGTACTTTTGTTTTTCCTTGAGCATGTGTTTGTGGCTGAGAAAGGATACTGGTCTGTGTTCTGACCTAATACAGCTGATATTCAGGGCATCTAATATGCAGAATGAGAGTGTAAAAATTAAGCAATTATTTCTTTTTCTTCTTAGTACCAGGGGAAAATATTGCAACAATGAAGTATGGAGCGCAGGTTGTAAAAGGGGAGCTGAAGTCTGCTTTATTAGATGGGGATACTCAGAACTATGACTTGGATCATGGCTTCTCTCGACACCCGATCGATGATGACTGCCGTTCTGGAATTGAAATTAAACTAGGCCAGCCATCAATAATCAACCACATACGGATACTCCTGTGGGACAGAGATAGTCGGTAGGTGCCAAGTTGACATAAAAAGAGAAGGTAATGCATTTTGTACTCATGGTAATATATCAGTGTGAAATATTCATTAAATATTTTATAGAAGCAGCATGGTACGGTGTTGGAGATGACAATGACAGGTTTTATTTAAAAAACCCCCCTTGTTTCTATATGAAGCTTACAGACCAGACCATATTTTGTGATATTAAACTACCCCATAATGTTTCAGTGAATTTTTTTTGTCTTCATTGTTTATACTGCTAATGAAAGTTTACGTAATTTAAATTAAGTTGAAAAATAATATTCTTGTTCTTTTGCAGAAACCGTATTTTTTACATATTTACATTCCAGATATTGAAGGAATGTTTGTTCAGATTTTTTGACTATATCAAAGTTGTTAAGAAATAACATACTTTGACAATAATTCAGACACAGTAAAATTTATTTATAATGTGAATTACTGACTTAACTACAGTAGATACTAGAAGCCACTTCATGATGACACTGGTGATGTATGAACTATCAGGGATGCCTTAACAGTCTAAAGCAGCTGAGCATAAATTGGCTATGGAATGCATGAAAGATCAAATTACGCATATTTGAACAGTTGACTGCCTAAGCAGGAAGATTGCGAAGTTCTTTTTATCTGACAAATTGAATGTATTAATTTTATAACTTGCTATGACAAAGATTTTAAAATTTAGTAGAAAGCTCATGCACCTATTCATAAGCAATTTTCTATTAAAAACAATAAAACAAGATACTTACACTTTTAACACATTATTACGCTTTTGATAAAAGATTAATTTTATATTACTTCCAGATGAACAATTTAGAATTGCAAAGCAGTTGCATTTTATTTTCTTAATTAAGAAGTGTTATTTTAGAACAGGGTATACTAATGTTTTATTGATTTTTATTTTTTGTAAATGATTTTTAAAAAATGAATTGCAATTATTAATCATTCAGAACAAACTGCATGAATTTGTAGCTTTTTAATTGTTTCACGTAAGTTCTCCTGGTTCAGTTCAACTGAAATGTATGTTTCTCCTCTATTCCTTTGGAAAGATTGAAAACGAAAACTTTGACAGTACAAGGAAATACTTCATACAATATTATACTACTTGTCCCAGAAGATCAACCAAATTTATAAACCAATTATCAACCAATGTAATGAAATTTGAAAAAGTATTAAAGACATTAATAATGAGGTGTTCTCTAGCAATTTTTAGCAAGTTGGCAACTGATAAAATGCCTCTCATCTGCAAGGCATAAATTGGCAGCTGCTGAAACTCGGGGGAAAACCCTTCTCCTTGGGACAACTTATTAAAAAATTATCTGTTGCTTGGTGTCCTATGCCCTCCCTTTGAAATTTGTAGAACCAACTATTTTTGGTGGCAGAATATCAGACAAGATAGACCTCGACTCTAGAGTTTTTTGTCTTCCAAAAATACTGAGGGTGCAGTGGTTTAGGATCTAGTTTCTCTGTCATCCGGAATTTTTTGTTTTTCTGTGTAAAGTTTGCTATTGGACTTCCTTCTGATTCTTGTCAGGTATAGTACTTGATTTGACAGTTTTCTTCTACCCCAGTAGCTCAACTGTCCAAGGTAAAAGGCAAAGGAAGAATTTGGAGTACTTTGTCCAGCTGTGGTCTCCTCAGTGTAA